TTTTATTTTTTTTTTCTTTTTACTTTTCTCAAGGAGAAGTAACTTCCGGGTGTTTCAGGGGCCGGGGAGTCCTTGGGCTGTGCCAGCTGGGAGCAGGGCAGGGCGATGCCGGCGCTGCTGCCGGCAGAACACCCCCGTTAAGTAGTTAATGTTGGCAAAACTTCGGCTTATGTGGCTCGGGGGAGCTGTAGTGAGCTATACAGGCAAAAACTTAATTTTGCTGCGGTAATTTATGTCCCTGCTGTGCTGCTGTGGCTCGACCACCTGAGCATCGCAGGAGGTCTTTGCAAAGACAAACACAAGGGCAGGTCTCAGCCCGAGAATTTAAACGCTCTGAGACCTCTCCTCGGCCACCCGAGATGCAGTTGTCTGATCTGGGCAACTAAAAGTGCCCCTGAATAAAGACCTGAGGTGTCCATGTACACCAGTTTGGCAGGGCTGGGATGCAGCTCCTTTCAGCTCATCTCTTCTATCAAAATGTACCCTGAATTATCTTGTACCCCAAATTACCTGGTACCCCAAGTGATGCTGCATTTATTCAAAGAGTATCTTCAGCAGGGCTGCTGCTGCTGGTCCATAATTTCAGCTTTCTCCGAGTGACAGGAACCAGTTATTTAAGCAGTTCACTGTGCTCAGGATGAAGAATCTTTTCATTGCATAAATGCATCTCGCTTTTTGCTTGGCAGCTATGGGATATGGCCCTACCGGACCTTCAAGAAGCTGGGAATTCCCGGTCCACGGCCTCTGCCCTTTCTGGGAACTTTCCTGGAGTACCGGCACGTGAGTACCAGCAGCTGCTACTCTATAGCTGCCTGAGGTTCTTCTTGTGGATGGTGCTGTTTTTCCCGTTCTTTGAACATCTCTTTCCTCTGCCCCTGCTTCAGCTGGTTGCAAATGATGCTTTTAGGTAGGAAGCTCTTTGGACACACAGAGAACATAAAAAGTCAGGCTGACCTGAAGGATGTGTGGTGTATTTTAAAACTACTTTGTAATTTAAATTATTAGTTTCTCCCTGTGTTTCTGCCTGCTCTTGAGCAGCTCAAGTTCTGTTAGAAACAAAATAAAAAAATATTGGAGAGATGCCTAAGGCTGCTATTTCTGAGAACTGCCTGTTTCTTTGTCCTTTTTGTCATCAACATGAAGAGGCTGAATTAGCCCCAGCAATGCCTTATCCAGCCACTTGCTGTTGGGCCAGCCTGAGACTAAGCCAGACAAATATTTGTTTTTTCTGTTTCTCCATCTTTCTCCCTTTGTGCAAAAAACTCTCCATCCAAATTATAGAATTTAGCACAAGAGGGATCTTGAGCTGTGCCAAGGGACGTTTAGGTTGGATATTAGGAAGAAATTTTTTGCAAAGAGGGTAATCAGACATTGGGATGGGCTGCCCAGGGAGGTGGTGGATTCACTGTCCCTGGAGGTTTTTAAGATGAGACTGGATGTGGCACTTAGTGCCATGGTCTGGGAACCACAGCAGTGTTGGATCAAGGGTTGGACTTCAAGATCTCGGAGGTCTTTTCCAACTCAGGTGATTCTATGATTCTGTGATGCTAAATAGATTTTTAGGTGAAACTCAAATATTTTTGACTAATCAGATAACTAGGTAGTAGCTGATCTCAGGTAACTGCTAATGCAGATCAAATGTATTGGCTTCAGTAAAAACCCTAATGGAAACAAAACAAAAAAGCCATGTTCACTCCAGTTCAGGAATTGCAGTGGAAGATCATATGAGGACAAGGCAGTAGCAGCTCTCACTTGTTGAGCTGAAGGTGAAAGGACACCCTGGGATCTGGTTCTGCCTCCTAACTCTGCTCACACTAAAACAGTGTACCTTGTCATACCTTGTCTTCGTTACATTTTTGGATCAGGTTGGCTGGTAGAAGTTGATAGTGCTTTTTTTATTCTTTTTTCTCTCTACTCTCTTTTTTCTCTCCAGTGCAAATGTCCCTTAGGCATCTACATGATGCTTAAGAGCAACTGTGCACCTCCCAACCTCAACCTCTGCCGCTTACAATGGGTCTGTGGGATGCCCTGTGCTGCCAACTGTGACCTGCTTTAATCACTTTTTACTGGCAAACTGTTCATTTTTGCTTTCTTCTTTTCCAGGGAGTCCACCATTTTGATCAGGTGTGCTTTGAAAAGTATGGAAAAATCTGGGGGTGAGTTTCTGCAGAACAAAACTACCTGAATGGAAAAAGGGACATTGCCATCGTGTCACTCAGCACTGTAATTCCAGCAGTGGCAGCTTGGGAAAATCCAGGTTCACCACTGGGAAAGTCTCCACCCATCTCTCCAAGGCTTCTCTCCTGCTGGGATTTCAGTGTGGTGCGGAGCTGGGATGATGATGGCCAGTTAGGGGGGTGATTTGTTTGCATAAGCTTTGAAAATAACCTCCACTGCTTGGTGTCAAACTGAGCCTCCTGCCTTTGAAGCTGCTGCTCTGTCTGTCTGGAGCAGGAAGCGAGCTGCAGGCTGCCACAGGGTTTTTCATCTTGCTCCCTGCTTCTCCCAGAGCTGGGGCACAAGCTACCTTTCAACCTGCTTCCTCTCTCCCTGCACAGCACTGGTGTTGTGCAGAGGCCTCTTATCATGCTTCTGTTGAGAACCTCTCAAACTGAAGCAAAATTCCTGTGCCAAAAAAAAAAAAATCCTGAGAGGCTTCATGAAACCTGACGCATTTTTTTCGAGAGATTAAATGTTCTCAAGCTTCTTGAAGATGGCAGCTTCCCTCAGCTGTGGCCCAAGGCTCCCTGCCCTTTAGCCCACACCATGACTTTTAAGTTCTTCTGTCGCTATTGATTGGAAAATGGAGGAGACAGAGGAGTTTTTCACCAATCAGTGCCTCGTAGGCCAGGCAGGAAGTCTCTTTACCCCACAGGTAGGCTGTTCAGCGTGGATTTACTGTTTCCAGCTATCAGGAGCAGAAACAGAGCTCAGACAGCCCAAGTGCAGGGGATCAGCACTGTGGCAAAGGCTGCCTTTTATCTAAACCCATGCCGCTTTGTCAACTCTTTAGTACCACAGACAACTGCTAGAAATGCTCATGCTGTCCATGTTTGGCACTTTCTTTCCCTTTCTCCTGTTTTACTACATAATAAAACAGTTCCAGCCTCATCCTTTTGGTGGTTTAGTCAGAGGGGACTCAGCTGGCCCAAACCCTTTGTGCTGTGGCTCTGGCCACAGACAGAACAGGCTGCTTCTGCTCCAGCTGACCATGAGCAATGGACTGACTGTGGGTTTCTCGTGGCTTAGGTTTTATGATGGCAGGCAGCCTGTGCTGGCTGTTTTGGACCCCATCCTCATCAAAAACATCCTGGTGAAAGAGTGCTACTCCATTTTTACCAATCGCCGGGTAGGTACCTAGTCCCTACTGCTTTGCTCTCCAGTACAGAGCACATGCAGCAAGAAGGGGATTTCTTCATGGTTTCTGTTCTCCTCTGAGCCCTTCAGTAAGTACTGCTGTCTGATGTGCCCCAGTTTATTGATGGTACCAACATCCAAACTCTGCTAGGGAGGTGTGTGGGCCACTCTGGCTGGGACATTGGGCCATCAGCCTGGATGTACCAGAGGGCTGATGGTAATTTATGACTATTACACTCTTATTTCCATTTCTGTTGTTTGCTGGTTGAGGTAGAGCTCACATGACTTTGGGGGCCAAGTGAACAATCCATAGTGGGTTTTTCTTTGCATTTCTGTCATGTGGAAGGGGGCTGTAAAGCTTCACCTGTTTCCCTGTATAACCATGTCCCTTCTGCTGCAACATTCCCCCTGTGCAGAACTTTGGTCTGAACGGGCTCTTGGAGTCGGCCCTCAACGTGGCTGCAGATGAGCAGTGGAAGAGGATTCGTACAGTGCTGTCTCCAACCTTCACCAGTGGGAAGCTGAAGGAGGTAAAGCACAGGCCACTGGTACTTTGCACCAATAGCTGGAGGAGGACTGGGCCATTTCACCTCCGACAGGGAAGTCGCCCTGTTTGTCAGGACCACATCCATGAACACCTGCATTGTTGGTACAGTTCAGCAATGCAGTGTCTGTCTGCCATCGTGGGGATGGAGTCAGGAGAAGGCGATGGGGGATGAAACAGCTCACAAGGCTGTTGGCCCTATGGCCTGTATTTTCATCTTGCTAAGCACATCACTCAGTCCGTGGTTGTCCATTTTCCATGCACTCAGGAGCCATGTTCAATCCCTACTGGAGTGGATGCTTAGCTGGAATGGGAGCTGTGTGTGGATTTTGGGAGAAGAGCCTTGCTCAGTCATGGTAGATGAGCTCTGTGGACAGATTGTTAAAATGAGAGAAAGCAATGTCTGAGACCTGGAAATAAGACCTCCCCAAGCCAGGCTTGGCGAGTGGCAGGTGGCAGGGTGGAATCACCCAGCCTTGTTTGGTGGCAGGGAAAGAGTCAACAGTGCTTTCTGCTTTGGTTTGTGTTTCAGATGTTCCATATCATTAATCACTATGGTGAAAAATTAGTGAAAAACATTGAGAAGAAAGTGGCTAATGATGAATTCGTGACCGCAAAGGAGTGAGTAACTGTGTGGGGCTGACAGGAAAGGGTTTGTGTTCAGTGTGGGGAAGGGGTTGTTTTGGAGGGTCTTTTCCATGCTGCAACGTAGATCCCTTGTGAGCTATGGAGGCAAACTCCACAGCAGTCATGGGCATGGCATGTTTCCCAGCAGTGGGCTTGCTGTGCTCTGCTCTGCTCAAGGGGGTAGCTGTGCTCTGTCCCCTGATTCATTTTACTGGAGATGCATTTTGAGGAAGGAGCAGGGACTGTTCCAGAAGCTGTGCAAGATGTGGTATTTTTGTATGTCATTTTTGCAATCTCTTTTACAGATGGAAGTCAGAATATAGTCTTTGTTACCCCAGACTGCAGTTCAGTGTTTTCCAACTGCAGCTTAGGTTTTTGAAGCTGAGAAAAATTGGGGAATGAATGCAACTGGGGAAAACTTGGGAAAGTATAATGATGGTTATTGCCAGATTAGGACAGACCTACTATGTTTGCATCAAGAGAGATTCCCTCCCACAATGATTGTTCCTAGATGAGCTCTTATTTACTACTGTGGTTGGGTTCATCTCATTCGCTCTCACTTCTTCTCTACTCAGCATTTTTGGAGCCTACAGCATGGATGTGGTGGCCAGCACTTCTTTCAGTGTCAATGTTGACTCCATGGGCAACCCCAATGACCCCTTTGTCACCAACATTAAGAAATTTCTCGAGTTCAGTTTCCTGAGTCCTCTGTTCATGCTCTTAGGTATGACACACCTCATCTCATACAGCCCTGAATCAATGTCAAAGGTGGTGACCATCTGTGTTTCCTGGTAGCTCCCTTAGTAGCTTTGAGTCCTCTTTGCCACATGGGAGATGCTCAGCACTTTGCAGGATTAGATTTACCCTAGCACATCTGCAGAATTATTTCCCCAGGGAAACCACAGTCAGGATTTGTACAGACCATGTGGGACTTTGCAGCATCCTCCTGAAATCAGAGACCCTGTTTGCAGAGGCACGATGGAGAGCAGCTCTGTCACAGAGCAATTTTTTGGGTCAGGGTCCAGATTTACCCTTCTCTTTTCTACGCTTTGTGCCAGTTTTGAGTTTCTTGGGGCCCTTTTGAGCTCAAATGTGTTGTTCTCTTCTTTCCTTTTAGTGTTGTTCCCCTTTGTTATCCCTGTGCTGGAAAAGATGAAGGTGACTCTGTTACCCTCAGACGTCATGAACTTCTTTAAGGATGTCTTCATAAAAATGAAGAAGGAACGGGAAAAGGGCAGCAGCACGGTGAGTCCAGCCCAGGCGACCTCTTCTCTTCAGGAGAAGTGTGTTGTCCTGAGTGCAAGAGGGACCTGGTGGCACCTTCAGAATCTGATGTGTATCACCTGCTCTCCAAAAGAACTCATGGCTCACCAATCCTGAGGAGAGGCAGAACCATGCCCTGCCTGGGTATCCCAAGGGGAGAAACTGTCTGTGTTCATAGAGGGTCTCTAGTCCGGACCTCATCGTGCACTAAAGCCATGAACTGCCACTGGGGGGCCGTGCCTGGAGCAGATGTCTCAGCAAGAGACTTGTGCCGGACAAGATTTGCTTTCTCCTCACCCATATCTTCTCTGACTGCCTCTGTCTCTCTCCAGGACCGGGTTGATTTCCTGCAGCTCATGATTGAATCCCAGAACTCGCAGGATGGCTCCAAGTCTGCTGAGGCCGACTGGGACAAAAGTATGTCTTCAGATCTGTCCTCCTCTCAACAGAAAGCAGTAGTTCCTTACTGGGTTGAAGGAGGGAAGCAGGGAGAGGATTTTAGTCGTTAATCCCGTGCAAAATTCAAGGTCTCGGTAGTGGGGCCATAATGATGTTTATTGCGAATCAGCCTATTTTCCTTATATCCCATTTCCTGGAATAAATCCTGAGGTGTGTTTGTGCAACAAAGGGTAAAAAGAGTGAGTATTTCCTTACTCCCATTTCTTATATTGTCTTCTCTGAAGGCCAGCAATGTTGGCTGTGTTTCAAAAAGCACGCAAAGCACATATGTTGTGTGTACCTTGCTCATCTGTCAGCTCATCTCTGTCCCCCATCCTGGGTAAACTGTTAAATTAAGAAATAATGACTCAGCCAAGTATAGTCCCAGTCCATCAACCTCAGTCAAGTCAGGATGCTTGTAAATTTTGAGGTGCCAGGACAGGGTGTTTGTAAGGACACCCTGCACTGCAGGCTGCATCCTGTCGGTGCTTGAACCCTGCTGCAGTGCCAGCATTAAATCCTGGGTTCTGCTTATTACCACTGCCACATTATGCTCAGGGCTACTAATCCCATGGCAGTGCAAGGCTCACCTCATGGCTTAGAGGAGATGCTGGACATCTCTTCCTCTCTATCTTTTCCTGGCATGTGCTCCTATATTTTTTTTTTTTGGCCTAGGAGCATTGTCCTAGAAGATAGCAGAGTCTTTCTGAATCAGGCCTCAGGCTGCACATACCTTGGTTCTGCTCTTAAAGAAAGCAAGGTAACACTGCTGATCTTGACGGCAGTTCTCTGGCTCTACAACTGCCAGATCCACCCCTTTGTGGTACCAGAGGGTAAGCTGGAAATTTCCTTTAGGAGTAGCATTACCTAGATTGGTAGGTGGGATCCTGAATTCCCAAGGGTTAGTTACTGTTGTTTTCAGCTTCGTGTATGTGCTTTTATGCCTTTTTTCAGCATTAAGTGATGAAGAGATTCTGGCCCAGGCTCTTATCTTTGTCTTTGCTGGTTATGAGACCACCAGCTCCACCCTCAGCTACATAGCCTACAACCTGGCCATCCACCCTGACGTGCAGCAGCGGCTCCAGGATGAAGTGGATGCATACCTGCCCAACAAGGTAAAGGAGGGTGGGAAGATGCTGGGGTTGTCCCTACCAATGCCTTGCAAACCCTGAGCCAAAAGCCAGGTTTGAAACAAAGCAGAGTGGCTGGGGTGCTGGCACTGAGATTTCCCCTCCCCTGGTCTCTGATACCTGAAGTGGAAGCACTGTGGGGGTGTTGGGGTGGGAGTTGGAGTCCTGTGCTCACAGCTGCCCCAATCCCCTCCCAGGCCACTCCCACGTACGACGCCATCACACAGATGGAGTACCTCGACATGGTGGTGAACGAATCCATCCGGCTCTACCCCGCTGGGGGCCGACTCGAGAGGGTCTGCAAGCAGACGGTGGAGATCAGTGGTGTGACTATTCCAAAGGACGTGGTGGTCATGATCCCAGCCTTTGTGCTGCACCGTGACCCGCAGTACTGGCCAGATCCCGATGAGTTCAGGCCTGAGAGGTGAGGGCTGGACAGGGGGAATAGCTGCGTGCTCAACCTCAGCCCTGGGAGTGGAAATGGCAGCAAAAGTGGGGAATGTATGATTATAACATTTAAATTAGGCATTTATCATTGTCTGACATCTAGTCCCAGCATTACCGTGAGGGGAGTTTTATGATCTACATCCATAAACTGTGCATGGAATTTAATTAACTGCATTGAAGGGAGCAACAGTGAGAGCAGCTCCCAGCAGCTGTAACACTGAGGGGTTTATGGCCAGATATTAAAGCAAGAGTCATTGGGTGACTGGCACAATGCCCTGCAAATCAGCAGTGAAAGGGCAAAGATGGGTAGGAAATAAAACTTAATTTTTAATTCAAGTTATGAAGCAATCTTTGCTTAGGAGCTCTGTCAGACCCTGCAAAATGAGGCAATAGCCCAAGGCAGATCTGGGAGACCCTGGGCCTGCTAGTCTTCAGGTGGCCACAAAGACATTGAGAGTTAGTCCAGAGAGAGCAGGACCAGACCTTGTGCCCTTTTACCAGGAGCTGTAATACCGCTGAAAGCTAGTTCTGATGTGGGGATGTGGTGACCTTTGGGACAAAATGTGGCAGCAGTATCAGGTGGGTGCTGCTGAAGTCACCTGTGGAACCTATGGTCACCTTGTGTTGAATTCAGGAGGAAACACCCAGATGGGAGTACGCTGGCAATGGACAGGCTACACCAGTTGCTCCAATAGCTCCATCCTTATTCCAGTTGACAAACTGCATGGGTGGGTGGACAGGAGCTCTTTAGGGATCACTTGCCTTGCTGGGAGTTCATCAGAGCGATGTGCTGGTGGCTCAGTAGCGAAATACTTCACTACTGACTTAGCGTGGCTGAGGTTTGTACCTGGACCTCATGCACTGGGAATGAAAAGCCTCCTGGCATGAAAACTAACTGATCCCTAAGAAGTATTACTGAAAATGCTCGGTGGCAAATTTCTCAGTGAAGCTGATTGTTCTTCCCTGTTTCTCATGATGAGGAGAGGAATGGCTGGCACGTCTCAAAAGCAACCCTGCCTTTAGTCACGCAGGGGGAGAACGTCTTTGTGTTCGCTCAGTCCTTTGATCTGCAGGGAAGCCGTGAAGCTGTAGACCTGTGTGTTTTAGGGTTTGAAATCTGGGTTCGGTTTTGGAGCTGAGAGGGAGTTCTGAGAAAAAGAGTAGTTATGAAATCCATTAGCATATTTCAGGTATTCCCTGGTCACCTGATGCACTTGGAGTTGCACAACCGACTCCGAGCAGTGGGATAAAAGCAGAGGCATAAGGTATCTATAGAGACAGAAATAAGGGACTTAGCTGGATTCTTCTAATATGCACAGAAACACAAAAAGCTTTTGCCTTCCCAGACCCCTCATCACTTCAGATCTGGAAGCTGACACATCCTGGAACAGTAGCTCATGCTAACTTGGTTTTTTTTTGGTTGTAATCAGGTTCAGTAAAGAGAACAAAGAGAGTCTTGACCCCTACACCTTCCTGCCATTCGGGGCTGGCCCCAGGAACTGCATAGGAATGAGGTTTGCTCTCCTTGTTGTAAAAGTGGCTGTGGTCGTCCTGTTGCAAAACTTCTTCTTCAGAACCTGCAGAGACACACCGGTGAGGATATGGGATGATGTGTTTCATTATCTGCCCTTTACTCCCACTGAGATGGTCCTACAGTTATATGGGAAAAACTGTTAAAATCTTCTCAGTTAATTTTAAGTGGTTCACCACAAGTTACTGATACTTTTTTTTTTTAAGCCTCTACAGAAACATATTTAATGTTGGTGGGATATTTTAGACTGAAATCCTTGAAGTCTTCTGCCTCTCTTTGGGTGCACCTGAGCTGTGGGGTGCTCGCTCAGCTTAGGGAGACCCTGCTCCAGAGAGCAGGAAGGGACTGTCCCCCCAGCCCACACCAAAGCTATGCTTTGCAACACAAACATGGCATGGTGAGGCATCCCAAGACACCAAAATTTGTCTCTTATGGGCCACCAGGCAGCCCTAAAGGATAACAATTTTCAAGCAAGCACAATTTGAGCTCAGTTTGAATTGGCGACCCTCTCCCTCTTTGAGGCAATGCAGGATCCCACTGGGTTTTGGCTTTGCCTGGGATCCCAGTGAATGCTGCATGCAGTACTGATGGGACAGGCCTTGCAAGCTGGGGCTGTTTGACATAAGATAAATGCAGTAGCTGTTGGAAATGATGTGTCAAGCCAGCCCTCCTGAGAGCACAGCAGCTCCCTCAGAGGCAGGTAGCACGATGATGTTGGTTTCCAGCCCAGCCCAGCTCTTACACTGGCTGCTGCAAAAGGCTGTGCCATTAATGTGTTTTGTTGGGAAATCAGAGCAGAGGGGCCAGCAAGTGCATTCAAAGGACATTTGTTGTAAGAAACAGAGAAATCTTATTAAATTATTACTTGGCACGGGTGCTCAGCTGGAATCTCTGCAGATTCAGATTGCAGCTCAACTAGTAACCTGGAGGTGAAAGACTGTAATAGTCCATTAACAATGCAGTGACCTATCCACCCTCCCCCAAGTCTAATGACATTTTTCTAGTCCTCTGCAATCCATAAAATTGATTCTTTTTATAACTGCCTTTAATTAAAAGGAGACAAGTTAAATATGTATTGTATTATTGGTGCCCATAGGTTTATGGGGCTCTTTCAGCCCTTTTTTCTGCAGAAGATGTCATGTACATCAGATCAGAGTGGGAGGAAAAAATTCATGCTGGAACATCCCTTTGGAATATGTACATGGAAGCTGCAGCCTCCTCTCACTTCTCCACTGATGGCACATTGGGCTCCAAGCCACATTGCTTAAATTTCCTGAAACAAAGCTCACTGGGATATGGGGATTTGAATGTAGCTTGTCAGGCTGAGTGTATCACCCTTGTCCTGATGGGGTGTGGGAGAGCTCGGATATGAGCAGCATCCATTAGGGGATGATTTAAAACACTCTCCTTTCCCCTGCAAAGTGAGTCCCTCCAACACCCACTTTAGATGTTGTTAATGAGATTTCCAGCCTACCCCATGAAAACCTTTTCGTGTGAGGATGCTTTTTCTTTGGTACTTGGTCTGAGCAGCAATCTTAGTTTTGTTTTTCCTGGAGAGCTCATTGCTCCTCCAGCTCCCATTATGATGTAGTTTCCCTTAGTGCTGACACACTTTGGCATTAAACAAAATGGCACCGTGTGCCCCTCCTTGGCTGCAGCTCCCTGCATGGGTTTTGGCTGCCGCTCCCTCCACGTGCAGCCTGTTGATCAGTGCACTGAGCTCTTTGTCCCACACCATGTGAAGGCCAGAATTCAGTAACCAGTTTATTCAAGAGCTGAGGGCTATTAAACACCAGCTGGTAGCTGTTTTGCATGAGCAACAGTGATAGTCCTGCTGTAAGCACACCTGTAATTTAGGAAGTGCACTGAAAACGAGTGGCAGCCGGGATGTATGTGGGCTGTAGGGCTCCTGTTGTTGTCGTGTCTGTCATTTTTCCCAGCTTACGTGGCTGTTTTGGTTTTTTCCTCCTCCTCAAGATCCCACTGGTTCTGGACTCGAAAGGTTTCATGCAGCCAAAGAAGCCCATCGTCCTGAAGATGGTCCCCAGAGGCCAGGCTGACCTGAAGAAGTGAAAGAGGCAGGAAAAGAGCAAGAAGCACTTACTTGATGGTGTCTCCTCTAACTCTTGAGAGGAGCCCAGGCTGATGTGTGCTCTGCAGGAATGTCAGAGGTGCTGTCCCCCATTTCACAGGGGTTTGGCCCAGCATAATTACTTGAGCATTATCCTAATGAACATGAGCCCCAGGCCCCGCTACCCCCAATCACAATACGCATTTTGCAAGACCCTTTGCACTTGAGTTATTTGGGCATTTTTTTTCTCTCTCTCTGAAGAGGCACTTTCCTAAGCAATTTGATTCCAGACACTGTCAGTCTCTTCTGGCAGTGTAATTTAAATCAAGATAGGGAGAACAAATTGCACATAGTTAAGTAATGCTGCCATTGCTCCTGTTCCCACTGCCTGCTGGGTAACTCTGTGTGTCTTCTGGTTTTATTCTCTTGGGAATGCAGAATTGTCCAGGGCTATTTCCTCAGCTCTGTGCTATGACCCTGACAAGTGTTAAAATGGTCACATCCTTGCAGAACTGAATGCCTGCAGCAAAATTTCTGATGCTGATTTATTTAGATTTTTGTATGATTTTAGATGGCTTTTGTGTGATTTCAAGTGCAGATGATTTAACTGGAGGAGCCCAGAGAGAAGCAGTTACCCCTGATGTCTAGAGATTGGCAGAGTGGGAGAGGAGTGTCCCACATGTGTTTCCTGATTGTTTGCTTATTGTACCCTGGGCATGCAGCCATCACCCATGGAAAGGATTGTCAACACAGGCACTGTCCATACTGTTATCATGACATCTTTTACTCTGGTTTATATCAGGCCATTGTAAGACCAACTTAACTGAATTAATAATGATGCAGGGTGCAGCACCGAGAGCCAGACTTTGTCTCCTTTTATGGATTCTAAAAGACCTGTATGCTGACATTTGGTATTATTCCTCCAGAAACTGCAATAAAAAGCTCACTTACCTCTTCTGTAACCAGTTGATGCCAATCTCTGCTTCTGTGCTTTCTCCATACACAAGTGACTCCATCTGAAGGTCTTATAAGTCTTTGACCAGGTGACAATGTCCCGTCACCTCTCCCAGCTGGATTCTTCACTTCTTGGGTGGGATCCTCAAAAATCCATGCTACAGAGTGGATATAGAAGTTCTCTTTTGCGTTTCATTCTTCTGCTGTCACCTTTTGGCACCACAAATCAGTGAGGACGTGGTCTTGCTAGTCTCAACCAGGCATTTGTCTCTCTGTGAGAATGGGGGAATTTGATTCCAGCATCTGCTCCGTGCTGCAGAGCATGTGACTTCATACAGTGTTCAAAGAGCTCTCTGCTCTCTCCTAAACACCTCATGCACCTGCTCTGCCTGTAGCTTCCACAGGAGGATGTCTTCTGTTTCCAAGCTGTCAGATTTCAGCACTGGGTGAAGTACTTGCATGTGTATATATATCCAGCCCACTCACTACCATAGATAATGCTGCTTGGATTCCTGGGAGATGAAAACTCGTTATGTCCTGAGTGAATCCCTGTGTGTAACATCAGTACTAAGAGCTGCTTTTGGAGATGCAGAGTTTAAGGTACAACATTCCCAAAATGAACAGCTGAGCAGAGTCATTGATGGTGTGAAGCGATTCCTATTGTAAAATTTGGCTTAGGAACTTTATTCACTACATATCAGTTTTTATATTTTACATTCTTTTATGTAGAAATAGATTATGCATATTATATGTTCTTTTTATACTTACTTTCTATATTTTTTAGGAATTGAGTAGAAAATCTCAGAAAAGCTGTAATAACCTTTCTGCAGCAAATTAAATTCTCCAGTGAAAGACACCTTTGACTGGAAGTGTAAGGGAGGAGTGAAGCTGCTTCTCTAGAGAGTCCCCAGTGAGCTGGGTGAGAGGGTTAGAAAATTCCCAGCAGCTCGGGCAGCCATGGCTTCCCCTTTTGCCTTCGTAACCTGCAGCAGTGCAGCTCCCTTCTGCCACCAGCGTACAAAAGTGACAATTCATCTTTGTTTTGAGCTGTTGCTTTCCCCTTTTTTTTAAAGCTGTGGCAGAGTGTTTGTGACAGCACATCTCAGGGGAGAACGACACAGTGCAGAGGCAGCGGGACCCCTGGAGAACAAACAGCTGAAAAGTGCCTGCACCGTCACAGCGGTTCATGAAAAGGGGAACAGAAATCCTCGGGTCTCTGCCTGGAGAGGGGACTGAGGAGATGAGGGTGACAAAGCCACACACAGTGTCACAGGTCAGGGATGAATTAATAACCTTGCTGGGGCGAAGGCCGTAGCCTGCCCGGTGGCAGCGAGGGAAGAGTTTTGCCTCCTCGCCCCATGCCTGCGTTGGAATTAATCACTCACAAATGTCAACACTAAGGAAAACATCCTTCAGGATAATCTCTCTCACAAAGCTGCTTAACATTTTGGAAATACACAGTTCACTTGCAGGTGTCAAAGGATATCAGCCTCTCTCATGTCTGTTCAAAGGCATCTTCATCTGCTCCACCCCGTGCCAGTGAAGTGGGCAAACAGGCTGCTGTGCTGGGCAGCACTGCTGTGCCTGCAGAGGGACCAGCACAGCTCTGCCTCATCTCCAGACACCTGCACGGGAGTCTGGCAAGACACAAAGCAGTGCTGAGCTGTGCCAAATCCCACCTTTGTTTTGCTGAATTCAGTTGTGCTTAAGAGCAGAAAGCACACACCTTCATTGGTTCCCAGTTGTTCCAGGGGGGTTGCCAACAGATTTTGGCTTTGTGGGGCGGTTGGGTGGGACCTTGCAGTGGGGAAATGCTCTGATGCTGTGGGTTTTCCAGCAGGACTCTGTTTCTTGGGTTTATTCCAGACTGAGCAGCTGTCTGGGAGATGTTCTGTGTCAACACTTTCTGGTCCTATTTCCAGAGGTAACAAGCCTGCACTATTCGCCTGTAGCCAGGGGAAATAAAGCTGTGCTCTTCTGGGCCTCAGGTTCCCTGCACTTGTAATTTTTCTAAAATTATTTACAGTTAGGCAATAGTGAACTTTGATGGGTGTCCACTTTATGCCATGCTTTGACTCAGATCCCAGCAAGGTCACAGAGTGAGCAAATGGGTTTCCTTTTGGAGGACCCTAAAGCAGAAGTGCTTCAGGAGCTCATCTAACATGCTGACAGCTGGAAGCAAGTCCTCTACTCCCCCTAAAAAACATATAGGATTACTATAGGGCCCCGTGCATCAACTCCTTTGCTCTGTGTATCCCCCTCCTGTAGCACAGCGCTGCTGCCTAGTGCAAACACGCTTCAGCTCAGCACCAGCTCCTTCTGGAAGGACAGTCCACCGTCAAGTGGCATCACTCAAATCTGGCCTCACTCGCTCGTGTTTCAATTATTTAGGCTTCTTTCAAGCAAGAGCACCCATTTGCACTTAACAAGGTGCTCCCTCACTGAAGTGCTGTTGCTGCCGGGCTCTACATGTGCTCGAGTGCTTCTCTCTCGCTCCGTCCTCCCCCCGCCGCGAGCGGGAGGTCCCAGGGCCAGTCCCAGGTAGAGCAGTTGTGCCAGTCCCAATTTGCAAGACACTTGGAGCTTTCCTGACCCTGACCCAGGCTTGCATAGAGGTTGTCTGTATAATTGCTGCCGGCGCTGTACTGGACCCGCTGCTGAAGAGGCACAGACCCCCGGACGCCCGTATTGAGTGCTCGATTCGGTTAAAATCGATGGAATAATCAGCCCACGGAGTCTGCCCAGAGGTCAGGGAGCAGTGATTTTTTCCTGCAGCAACTTTGGTCCTGAGCTCTTGTTTTAGCGTGAAGATTGCAAGCCAAAGCACTTCAGCAGGTAGGTTATCAAAGGGTTGTGACTGCTGGTATTTAGCTGACAGGCTAATGTAACAAATGCATAACAAGGTCCCCTAAAATAGAGAGCTAAGTTCTTTGCAGTGCTTTTTTGTTAAAACAAGCAGGTGATGGACGTGGCGCAGGGTCGACTGGCATCCTGCAAGGCAAAATGCAGGAGAGCCTTGAAAAGGAGCCAACCAGTGTGGAGGAGGAGGAGGAGGATATCAGGAGAATGAGGTGCCAGACCATGGGACTGGACCAGGTGGGGATAACCCCTTTTTCTCGCCCTATTCCACCCCACAGCCCTAAATTTCATCCTCCCCAGCCTCTCCCCATCTGTCTTATGGAGGCACCTCAGTGTCTCCTCAGTTCCATGTGTGCCTGCAGCAGCCATTGGCAGAGGCAAAGGGCACAGCAGCGGGGGGACCCGTCTTTACCCCTCTCATCACTCCAGCACACGTCCAGGAGCAGCTGGACACACGACACACTGTGGACTGAATTTGCAGAGGCACTTTGATCTTCCATTTTTGAGCTCAGTGATTCAATCCCCCACAGAGCAAAGGTAAACGGCTGCGATGCTGCTTCGGCGGACTCGAGGTTTGGAGTCAAACAGCAGTCATTTAACCACACTTTTAAAGCTCCTATCATTTGAATGTCATATGTCAAACTGATGCTACTTCCACTGAAGGCAAATAGCTGTTTATTCCCCTCTCAGCTGGCCAGCAGCCTGACATTCATTACCGAAGCCTTGCAGCTGCCAGGGATTGAAGCTACCTGTAGGAGTGCGTCTATCAAAGCCTTCCACCTCATAAGGGTTATTCCCTCTAATACCGCCCATACATTTTGGCTCAGGCTCCTTTTACAGCTCCTGTAGGTCTGCAGTTGTTTTTCCCTGTGTCTGAACAAGGTCAGGCATTGGTTTTGCCCGTTCCCTCCAAAATTATGTTGCTAGCCCATTTTTCATGGCTTCTCCTGGGTTCAGGCTTGCTGTCACTGTGCACCAGCCCCTGAGGTTTATGATGTGAGTGTTCCTCTGCTTGATCTTACGGCTGTGGACAGCGACCAGCACACAGGACTGTGGCACTGGTGGCCCAGCTGTGGAATCTTGATGCAGCTTCAGCTCTCCTTGAGGCCAACACTGCAAATACTGTTCCTGGGACGTAAGCTCATGCGTGAAATACCTGATATTTTGCAGTTTATTAGGCGCTAAAATGTTCAATTGGCTGCAGAGGAGTTTACAGAATTAAAAAAAAAAAAAAAGGCAACAGAGATGATCAGATTAGTTTGCACTTAGACGTTGCCCTGAACGTCACTGAGCAATTTACACCTGTACGAGGAGTCTGCAGAGTTCTATTGAATCAGACCTGGAGCGTTTTACAGCCACTTTGCACAGACATAAATGATAGCATAAGGTGCAAAGGAAACAGCCAGCCCGACAATTACAGAGCGTCTTCACACGCCTTATTAATCCTCATTACAGCCCTCTGTGCTGAGACTCGGCACCTTCCCTTCCCCGACGAAGGCCAGGGAGGCTGTGAAGCCAATTTAGCCACCTGCCAAACCTGCAGCGTCTGACTGCTGCTATCGACGTGCCCTTGGTCCTGGGGAGCTGGATGCTCCTTGCCAGCACCTGAGATGCATCTTGCTAAATTACAGCGAGGGAGATCTTGTCCTACCAGGCTTCTGAGCAGCATGAGATGTTATGCTCAGCTATATATATATGTCTTTTTGTACACTTTTTCTCTTTTAGCTTACCTCTGTAGGTATCTCAGGAAAGTGGGATGATGTTCATCTAAAAGACCATGAGCCCTCTTCCTTGCCTGTGCTTACACACCCATGAAACAGGTCTGTGTGTGCATGCAGGATCACGAGCCTCAGGACAAGAGGAAATGGGTGAAAAAAAAGGATTATTCAGGTGCTCTTGGAGCAAGAGGCTGGAAGCACTGCCAGCATTTGTCTGAGCCGTGCCTGTGCACTCAGGTTAACGACCCAAAATACAGCTGCCAGCACCACCCTGTATCTACAGGCACATTTCACGAGTGGTGTGATTGTTTGCTGTAGCTCTCACATTTATGGCTGATACTGAAACTCCTTTAAAGAGAGCAGCTATCCACGTGTTTCTCAGCACTCCCAGAGCTCTCACCCCCTTCCCTGCTCAGAGCCCCTTGTTTAAA